TTGTATGGCTCTATGCTGTCCTCTCTTACTTGCATTTTTTCCAAACTAAAATGCCCCAAATGTAATTTTTGCACATTTGAGAGTTACTCTAAACTCTTGTTCATTTTAGTTGCCCTTTTCTACAACTTTTTCAGCTCTACAATACCTTTTTTGGCAATGAGGTGACCATTGCAATACACTGTACACAGTACTGTATAGCCATGGATGTATATAACAGTATTATGATATTGACAGTATTATTTTCAATCCCTTACCTAATGATCTTTAATCTGGTATTTGTCTTCGTTACAGCTGCTGCATAATGGGTTGACATCATCATCAAGCTGTCCTCCACAAACACAAGGTACATTTTCTGGTGACTCATTGCCAGTTCATCTCCATTGGTATATATGTGAAATTAGGATTGTTTTCCCCAAAGTGCCTCACTTTGTACTTGCTTAAATTGAATTGTATTTGCCATTTCCCCATTTGCCTAATCTGGAGAGATCCTTTACAAACTCCTCGCAATCCCTTTTTGTTTTAACATCCTTGAACAATTTGGTATCATTAGCAAGCTTGGCTCCCTCACTGGTCACCCTTAACTGCAGTAAATATAATCCTGTGGTTTATGTAAAATGGCTGCCATTGCACATCTGCCAACACCTGTGCAACCTAGTCACTATCCTATCTTTTTAAGCTAATTTAGCCTCTATGAATTAACTGTGCACTGTCTCCTTAAGTATAACCCAGCTTCCATTGGCCAATATCACATCTGGCAGCAAATGTCATAAATTTCATTATTTCATAAATTATGAATTGTTTCAAACGTATCCCTTTCTCCACCTTCTTCAAGCCTGAGTTTCAGCATTATGGGAGTGGGAGAAAAAAATAGCTTTACAGTGGTACCTCGGTTTAAGAACAGCCCTGTTTGCAAACTATTTGGTATATGAACTCCATAAAACCGGAAGTAGTGTTCTGGTTAGTGAACTTTACCTTGGTTTATGAACGGAAGCCAAACGGTGGAAGGGCATCGGCAGCGGGAGGCCTCATTAGGGAAAGCGCGCCTTGGTTTAAGAACGGCTTTGGTTTAAGAACGGTTTTGGTTTAAGAACGGACTTCCGGAATGGATTAAGTTCGTAAACCAAGGTACCACTGTACCTCCTTTTTTTTTTTTAACATCTTACATGATTTTGTAAACTTATGTCATGCCTACTTTGGGCCATGTTTTCCTCTAAAATAAAAAGTATAAGTTGGTGTACCATTCGAGACTTCGGTATTTTTCCCCTGAACCTTATTCCTTCTTTATGATGGATTAGGATTGACCAATATTCCAGACATTGCCCTGTTATAGATTTATTTTCAATCCCTTTCCTAATTCTAGCATGGAATCTGCCTTGCTGTTTTTAACCCCAGCCACACATAGAGTTTCTGTTTTCATTGAGCTATCAATCATGACTGCAAGATCTCTTTCCTGGCCAGTGCCAGTCAGACACCATCAATGAATACACGAGGCTACGATTTTGTCCCAATGTGCATCATATCTGAATAGTTTTTGTAAATATATAATTGAATTCAAATAATCTAAATAATAATAAAAGGACAATGCATCAAAGAACAGTGCCAACGATATACGCAGGACCACCCCCATGCAAAATATTTAAAAATGGGTTCCATTTGGGCATATTGACTTTTTAAAATACATCATAATTCTAGAGATAATACATTTAAATGTGTTTACAGGATATAATAAAATAATTTTCATATATAATTTATCCAGCTGCAAAATATGAAATCAAATCATTTCTACACATAGTATATGCACCTTTGGTGAATTAAGGAGCATAACTTGTGTTGAACAAAAAGAGTTCTTGATGGGCACCTTCAGTATACTTTAGTACAAGATTCTCCCACAGTGCAGTTCTAATGCAGAAAGCCCTGAGACATGAGTCCACTACATCAGAGTGTTACTGAAAGTTACCAAAGGCAAAGAGGAAAACTTAAAAAGTAGGGGGTGGGGTGCAAGGCACTCACTCTATATAGAATAATGACTATATAAGCTGGTTATTAATAAACCAAGGATAGAGGTTTTTTAAAAGTAGTTCATAGATTATAATGCCAGAGCAGATTGTTGCTCATTCGCAGTAGCCTAAAACCTGTGACATCATCTAAGCGACATTGAGCATCGCTGTTTGCAGTGTCTGGAGCACAGCAGTGATCTAGACGCTAGGTGTTGCTGTTGTCCACGACTGGAAAGGAAGAACCATCCACTCTGGCAAAGGGAATCTTTTAATGGCTCAGAATTCAAGCTGAAAGAAGAGCGAAATGATTGTATTTTCGTAGAATTTGAGTGCAGAATTTGCGTGCTGTTCTGATGGATAGCTAGAGACAGAAATAGCAAGAGAGTAGGGCTAGCAGAAGAAGGAAATTATTATACTGCAAACCTCTGTTTTTCTGTTGCTACAAAAAACCAGGCAACCTAATATGTCGGGCTTATGGCTGCCATTCGGTTTTCTGTGCATTGCCATAGTGTGCGTCTCTCTAGCCAGAGAAGCTTGCTGCTGGATCCCAGAGGATTTGGAGCCCTGTATTGCCAGTGAGTCTATTGCAGCAGAGGATCCCAGAAACCTAACCGCTGACAGACTGCCTATTGTGTTGTTAAATGCAAGAAAACATCTGGATTTGCAGCTTAGTGCATGATAGTGGACAACAGAGGAGCTGCGTGGTCAGACAGTAAGTTAAGTACTAAAATTTGAGCTTCGGATTGAAAATCTTGCATTGTATTATCTGGACATAGAAATCCTCAGTATTGACGATAAAGTCACACAGTTTCCCTCTAAAAGAGATATTGCTTCTCAGAACTGAATTGGTAATAGTGAGTGCCCCATTTGCAAATTGTTAAAAAGAATAAACAAATAAGAAGGTAGAGCACTGTGGTGGACAGAATAATATGCTATTTTTAACTTTTGAAAAGTTGTTGGACAAAGACAGATACCATTTGAAGTTTCCAGTAAATAGTAAGAGATGTCAGGTCTTCCCAAAGGTCTGGCACATTATTGCACTGCATTCCAGTGAGAACACTCCTGGGTTTGACTGGAATATCTTCAGTTTATTTGGGAACTTCTGATCAATGCAGCAGATATGGACAAAGAACATGGAAGTGATTGGGAGAGCAACAATGCAATGAGATTTGTTAATCATTATTTCTAGTAGACTAGACTTCTGCAGATGTAAAGGTGGAAGGTGCTCTGGATTTTGAAGAATGAAAATAATTCATACTGGACGCAGAGCACACAATGGGAATTATGCACAAAGGTTTTTTTTTTGTGTGTGCCTAAAGATGGACAAGGTGAAGGAAAATGCTCAATGTGATCAATATCTCAATTCTAATACATGGAGTTAGTCTTTGTTGGAAGCTTTGTAGGTCTGATAATATGGAGATACTGTGGAGAATGGCGGGATGAGGTGCCACATCTTTCAAGATTGGCTTAGTAAGACATTCCATTTCACACTGAAGCCATCCCTTAAAATTATTTTGTTGAAAAATGGAAACTTTAAAGTGAGCAGCAGAATGTCCTAGGAAAGTGTTCTCACATTGGTTTCTGAAAGTTGCCATTCCTATATTAGCTGAATAGCAGAACATGACTACCAATCTGGAACTTGAAGGTACAGTATGCACTTTCAGATAAAGGCGCTGGGCAAAAGATTGCCAGTGGGGGCTTGTGTCCCTTTCAGACATGGAATCCAACATCTATTGCAATCCCATGACCTGCACCACAACGAGGATTTAAGTTGCCATCTTCTGCATGAGGGACAGCATTCTGACATTTCATCTGGGCTCTTACCAGGGAATGGTCCACATGGACATGTTCATAGTTCTAGCATATTGTCTTCACATCTCTGTAAAAAACTGCAATCTACTCTCAGCCTTCGATCCAATTCCTGCTTCGCTTTGAAGTTCATATTTTGTTCATGCGGTTGTTTGCATCATTGATCAAGGAATTCTAGCAATGTGCTCTCAAAGTGAGGTAATGCGTATGAGCCAATTACAGAGACCATGAAGAAGAAAATAATAATAGTAAAGAGCCTCATGGAACTGCAAGCCTAGAAGAACTGGCGTTTAGATGAAGTGGTGCTGATAACTGCTCTTTTGCTTAGCAGTCTTTCTTCCTTGACTTGAGAAAAGTAGGCATGGAACTGGTGCCAAACCTATCCATTCTTAAGGAAATCAGCCCTGAGTGCTCACTGGAAGGACAGATCGTGAAGCTGAGGCTCCAATACTTTGGCCACCTCATGAGAAGAGAAGACTCCCTGGAAAAGACTCTGATGTTGGGAAAGATTGAGGGCACAAGAAGAAGGGGATGACAGAGGACGAGATGGTTGGATAGTGTTCTCGAAGCTACAAACATGAGTCTGACCAAACTGCGGGAGGCAGTGGAAGACAGGAGTGCCTGGCGTGCTTTGGTCCAGGGGGTCACGAAGAGTCGGACACGACTAAACGACTAAACAACAACAACCACTGTATTGTCATGCACACCCTGATCTCCAAGCAGTGAAAGATGCTAGTGGTGCCAACGTGTGTCATATGTTGGTATAAAAGATGGAAACATTCAATGATGGGGCAAGTGTATTTAACAAGCCATATTTACCAGCAAATGAAAATATACATTTTGAATATATTAAATACATTTTCAAGAAAAACATCTTGTTTATCATTCATTTGAACTTGATTTTCATTTTACTAAACAAATTGATGACATCAAACATTCTCCAAAACTACACACAATATAAACATCTACTGTACTTTCCCATCTAGTCGCATGATGTCGCTCTCTGCTTAAGTAACTTGCTGTGAATAAAAGGGGAACAAAAGGCTCTTCCACTGCTTTGTCATCACCAGAGATCATTCCCGTTCCTATAATTGGAGGAAGAAAAGGTATATCAGCAGGCTGGATTTAGATTCTTTCAATGTTTTTTCCAGATATATTTCATAAAAGAGGAGAGTTATATGAAATATTTCTGAGATGGTTGCTCCATGGGGTGACTCTTCCTCAGTGGGGAGAAAGCAGCTGCTGCAGCTGATCGTGCTTCACACAGCCTGGTTGATGGGGAGCGGCCAGCTCCATTATTCCGTGCCTGAGGAATCCCAGCATGGCACCTTCGTGGGCCGCATCGCCCAGGATCTGGGGCTGGAGGTGGATGAGCTTATGCCTCGGATGTTCCGGATGGAGTCTGAAGATCATGGGGACTCTTTTGAGGTAAATGTCCAGAATGGGATTTTGTTTGTTAATTCCCGGATAGACAGGGAGGAGCTGTGTGCCAAGAGCCCTTTGTGCTCTGTTCACCTGGAGGTGATTGTGGATAAGCCTCTGAGGGTCTTCCATGTAGAGGTGGAAATCAAGGACATAAATGACAATTCTCCTGTTTTCTTGGCAAGTAAACAGTCCCTCAGTGTTGCAGAATCAATGCTGCCTGGTACACGTTTTCCTCTGAAGGGAGCCTCAGATGCAGATGTTGGTGTTAATGCTCAACTGAAGTACAAGCTTAATTCCACAGAATATTTTGTTATTGAAGAAAAAATAAATGACCAGCAGAGTGTATCATTGGCACTTGTTTTAAATAAACCTCTGGACAGAGAGAAAATCCCTGTGCATCGTTTAGTGCTAACAGCTACTGATGGGGGTCAACCGGAACTCACAGGCACAGTCCACCTTGAGATCACTGTGATGGATGCAAATGACAATGCACCTGTATTTAATCAATCTGTTTATAAGGTGAAATTGTTAGAAAATGTGGCAGATGGAACATTGGTTATTCATCTCAATGCAACAGACTTAGATGAAGGAACTAATAAAGAAATCACCTACTCCTTCAGTAATAATGTTCCTTCCAATATATTTAGTATACAGTCAGATACAGGTGAAATCAGGGTAAAAGGGAAAGTGGATTTTGAAGATATTAATATGTATAATGTTGAAATTGAGGCAAAAGATAGAGGTAGCCCACCTTTGTCTGGGCACTGCACTATCCTTATTGAAATTTTAGATGTAAATGACAATGCTCCTGAGATGTCATTGAAGTCCATGCTGGTGCCTTTGCCTGAAGACTCCTCGCCAGGGGCAGTGGTAGCCCTGATCAGCATCTCAGACAAGGATTCTGGATCCAATGGCCAAGTGAGCTGCTCTCTGTGGCCCACTGGGCTTCCATTCAAGCTGGTGCCCACCTTCAAAAATTACTACTCACTAGTGCTAGCTGAACTTGTGGATCGAGAGCAGGTGGCTGAGTATGGACTGGTGGTTGTGGCCCAGGATCAAGGGGTTCCATCATTATCAGCAAGTAGCAGCCTAGTGGTGCCCATTAGTGATGTGAATGACAATGCACCTGCTTTTGCTCAGCCATTCTATACGGTCTTTGTGAAGGAGAATAATCCACCTGGTGCCCATATCTTTACAATGTCTGCCTCAGATCCAGACGTGGCTGAGAATGCCCTAGTCAGCTATTGGCTTGATGAGAAGCTCTGGTCGCTGTCAAGCTACATCTCGGTGCACTCAGAAAGCGGCAAGATCTATGCACTGCAGTCCTTAGACTATGAAGAGATGAAGTTGCTGGAATTCCAGGTGAGGGCCAAGGATGCTGGGCTGCCCTCTTTGTGCAGCAATGTGACAGTGCAGGTGTTTGTGGTGGATGACAATGACAATGACCCAACAGTATCTGGACAAGGGGAGGCCCCTGTCAAGCTGGTGGTCCCTGTCATGGCTGGCCACTTAGTGAGCAAGATCCATGCCCTGGATGCTGACTCAGGCTACAATGCATGGCTACGCTACGAGTTGCATGAATTGACCAGTGGCCCCTGGCAAGTGGGACTGTACAGTGGTGAGATAAGTACCAGACGTGCCCTGAATGAGGCAGAGGGCAGCAGCAGCCATAGTTTGCTGGTGTTGGTGAAGGACCATGGGAAGCCACCGCGATCAGTTACAACTACATTGAGTGTGTCTCTGGTGCCAAACACCCAGATGTTCCACGATGATGTCCATCTTCCCAGGATGGGAGGTGGTTCAGGACCCCTGGTGGACAATGTCAACATCTACCTAATCATTGCCATCTGCTCAGTGTCCAGCTTGTTCCTGCTTGCAGTCATCTTATATGTGGTTCAGCGATTCCACAGGCAAGCAGAGGAGACAATGGTGTATGGTCCCGGCACAGCCACGCTGGTGTGTGCAAGTGAAGTGGGCAGTTGGTCTTACTCAAATCGCCATAGCCACATTTTGGCAGGAGTGAGTGGAGAGGCTGGAGCCAAAAGTGATCTCATGGTTTTCAGCCCCAACATTCCTGTCTTTGCAGAGAATGGGGATGTAGGGATTATGACGGAGGTGGTCCCTAATTCATCTGGGCAGGTGAGTCTCTACTATTCATTTCAGTTTGTCATGTGATGTACCTGTCTTGGGAGTATGTTTCAAATACTCACTTGGATATAATAGCATGATTTCAATGTTTAAAAATGACCTGTTTGTTCGTTTTCTTGGTGGTAGAAGAGTAATATAGCTTTGGTTATAGATTAGCCACCTGGGTCCGGGAATTCCAGCACAAACACAACTTGATGGAATAATTTCTGCTCATTATAAAACATGTTACTTGAATATATAGTCATGCAGAATATTTTGAGCTCTGACCAGGAAATCAAAGAATACACTGAGCTTTGCAGAATGCCTTGAGCTTTGATCAGGAAAAGAGATTTAAAGATATTGGGCAGCATTGCTGTTTGAAATAATATTGTAGTAATTATGTTTTGGCAATAGCGTCTGGAACCCAGTTAGCCTACTTCATCTCAGTTGTTAATGAAATATTTTAAATGCATAAAAACTCTATATTAGATACATAAGAGCACACATTATTAAAACTCCAACTCCACTTTTTTCCATTCTGAAACCTATTTCCTCATCTACATGGATTCTCTTGCCTCTGAGAAATGTAATCTTCCCTCACAAGCCAAACCTCCTGCCAAATCATGCAAGAAGGCAATAGCAACATTCTCATTAAACACATAAACTCTCCATGTTTGCAAGAGATGTACCTCACACCATCTAACACAAGATGAACACCCAGTGCTAGGGAAGATATGTAGGAAGTACCATAAGCAAACGTCTTTGCAATAGCATGTTGTGCAAGCAGGCAGGCAAGCAAGCAAAGGGCGTCCAGGACTCTCCCAAGATGCAACACTACAGCTTGCCTACAGACACAGTGTTTAGGAATGGAGAAAACATTTGTCACAATACACACAAGACTCAAGGAAGCATCAGTAAAAGAAGAGATGAACACTGGAGCTGTAAACTCTGTCCCTAAGAGAAATGCAGTAGAATATCTTAGGACATAAAACTAACATTGTATAAGTGAAAACAGGAGGCTACATGGGTGATCCTCTCCAGGTGATAGAGACGTGTAGTGTCATAAATAGGTACAATGAAAGATGCCAGGCTCTAGATCATAATATTCCAAATTAACCAGCTATGCCAATATTGGGCCTGAAGGACCTACCATCCCTAAACTTGATTTTAAAAATCTTACTGAAATTAGAACTGACTGACAAATTCCCAGATGATTTCTTGACTTGGTTGTGGGTCTAAGATGTTTCCTGGGATGAATCAAACAGTGGTTGCCCCTTGCCATCACATGGAAGACGAAGAAGGAACTTCAGCCTATGGAGCAGCAAAGTACAAATGAGAAGGCTGAAGGACCTTTACATGGTTGTAGCTCTTCTGCCAATGGATATGTGTGGATCTCCAAAACCAGAACAAAGCAATATGTGATAATATCAATGTCTAAACATGCTCAACCACATCACTCACAAACTGGCAGCCATAATTACGTTTTACTGTTCTTGAAGCCCAGGCTAGACACTGGCAGAGCAAACAGAATGAAAACAGCAACAAATTCATTAGCACACCATTCAAGAATTAGCAATTCAAATTACTAGCCTTTCCCAGTAGTGATGTATGGAAGTGAAAGCTGGACCATAAAGAAGGCTGATCGCCGAAGAATGGATGCTTTTGAATTATGGTGCTGGAGAAGACTCTTGAGAGTCCTATGGACTGCAAGAAGATCAAACCTATCCATTCTTAAGAAAATCAGCCCTGAGTGCTCACTGGAAGGACAGATCCTGAAGCTGAGGCTCCAATACTTTGGCCACCTCATGAGAAGAGAAGACTCCCTGGAAAAGACCCTGATGTTGGGAAAGATTGAGGGCACAAGGAGAAGGGGACGATAGAGGATGAGATAGTTGGACAGTGTTCTCGAAGCTACGAACATGAGTTTGACCAAACTGTGGGAGGTAGTGGAAGACAGGAGTTCCTGACCATGGGGTCACAAAGAGTTGGACATGACTAAACGACTAAACAACAGCAAGCATATCATCTGGCATATTATCTGCATGGTCTAAAACAGCGAAACACAAATAAGAGGGATACCTCCTTTCACGAGAGATCTTAGATCCAGAAGTCTTATTTGTATATTATACAGATTCTTGACACAGCACATACCCAAATCGGACGCCACAGAATGCACAAATAAAGTGTGTTATCATACTGTTAATGTATCCACCTGAAGAATAAAGGAAAAGATTTGTGCTCAGAAGCAGTATGGCGCAAAAGTATGTAAATAAGAATGGTGAAGAAAAGGTACACCCACTGTATCCTCTTTGGTAGTTTGGGGAACCTCTGATTTTTGGCTCTCATGCTATTATCTTTTTGGAATGTAACAATGTTCCACTTGGTCTATCATGGCCATAGTGCTTCTTTTTCTCACATTTCCCATTTTTCATTCATCTCTACCCCCACTTTCTCCCCCAATATTAAAGTGAATCATCTTTCTTTAATATGAATGAAAACATACTCTCCTTTGTACAACACAAACTTTTAAGAATGGAAACTCTCAAAGGCAGGAATGTGATCTTAAAAAACTGCTGCCACACAGGAGTAATTATATATCCACATACACATAAATCTTATGTCAAATGATTACAAAGATAAATATGACTATCTTCACATACATTTAAAGAAGCATAAGAAAACTAGAAGAATACAGAACACCAGAAAACAAAAAAGCCCAACCAAATATTGCAAGAATTGCATTTTTAAATCTCTTCACAGGGTGTCACTCTTTACTGTTAAATACCTCTTGCAGACTCATAGGAGAGCTCCTCCTCCTTGCTGTCATCAGAAAATAGGCAGCACCAAAAGTGAAGGAGCACAAAGGATAATAGCAAGCTGGATTAACCACCCCCCCACTCCAATATTGCACATAACAGAGGGGGATTCAAAGGAAGATATTTGATATGGTTGTTCCTTGGAGAGACTACTCGGTGAGGAAGCAGCTGCTGCAGTTGGTCCTTCTTCACACAGCCTGGATGGTGGGGAGTGGCCAGCTCCATTATTCTGTGCCGGAGGAATCCCAGCATGGCACCTTTGTGGGCCGCATTGCCCAGGACCTGGGGCTGGAGGTGAGTGAGCTGGTGCCTCGGATGTTCAGGATAGTTTCCAAAGAGCACAAGGATTATTTAGAGGTAAATGTGCAAAATGGAATCTTGTTTGTGAATTCTAGGATGGACAGGGAGGAGCTTTGTAGCAAGAACCCTGTTTGTGCCATTCACCTGGAGGTGATTGTGGATAACCCCATGAGGATCTTCCATGTGGACGTGGAGATTGCAGACATAAACGACAATGCCCCTGTTTTCTCAGCAAGTGAGGAAAATCTGTCTATTCTAGAATCAAGACTTGCAGGATCCGTTTTCCCTCTAGAGGGAGCTTTAGATGCAGATGTTGGTACAAATGCACAGTTAACTTACCACCTCAGCCCCAGTGATCATTTCATGTTAGATTTCCAAAGGAGCAGTGAGGACAATTCCTTAGGCTTTGTAATAACAAAGCCGTTAGACAGAGAAGATATTTCTGTGCATCGCTTGCTGTTAACAGCCACGGATGGTGGCCAACCTGTGCTAACGGGAACAGTTCAGCTGGTGATCACAGTGCTTGATGTGAATGATAACCCTCCTGTCTTTAACCAATCAGTGTACAAGGTACAAATGTTAGAAAATGCTTCCCTTGGGACGTCAGTGGTTAAGCTCAATGCCACTGATGTGGATGATGGCATTAATAGAGACATTACATACTCTATTCGTAGTGTAATCCCACCTAAATCAAGTACCATGTTTAGAATAGATCCAAATACTGGACAAATTTTACTGAATAATGAATTGGATTATGAGGACACTAATTCATATGAAATTCGAGCAGAAGCAACAGATAAAAGTGCTTACCCCTTGTCTGGACACTGCAAGGTTTTAATAGAAATTCTGGATGTGAATGATAATATTCCAGAGGTGTCAGTGACTTTCCTGTTGGTACCAGTTGCAGAGGATTCTTCACTGGGGACAGTCGTAGCCTCAATCAGTGTCTCAGACAGGGATTCTGGGGTCAATGGACAAGTGACCTGCTCTTTGTGGCCCACTGTGCTTCCTTTCAAGCTGGTATCTACCTATAAAAATTACTACTCTCTGGTGCTGGCTGAATCCCTGGACCGTGAAGAGATGTCTGAATACAGACTGGTGGTGACAGCCCAAGACCAAGGGACTCCATCACTGTCAGCTAGCAGCAGCCTTGTGGTGCCCATTGGTGATGTGAATGACAATGCACCTGCTTTTCCTCAGCCTTCCTACACTGTCTTTGTGAAAGAGAATAATCCACCTGGTGCTCACGTCTTCACAGTGTCTGCCTTAGACCCAGACTTAGGTGAGAATGCCCTTGTCAGCTACTGGCTGGATGAGAAGCTTTGGTCATTGTCAAGCTACATCTCAGTGCACTCGGAGAGTGGAAAGGTCTATGCTTTGCAGCCCTTGGACTATGAGGAGGTGAAGCTGCTGGAGTTCCAGGTGAGAGCCAAGGATTCTGGGTTCCCCCCTTTATGTGGCAACGTCACAATACAAGTTTTTGTGGTGGATGAGAATGACAATGTGCCTGCGGTATCTAGGCCAGAAGAGGTGTCCCTTGCTCTGCTGGTAGCCCCTGTCTTGGCTGGACATGTGGTGGGCAAGGTCCATGCCCTGGATGCTGACTCAGGCTATAATGCATGGCTGCGCTATGAACTGCATGAGGCAACCAGAGGCCCCTGGCGTGTGGGGCTGTACAGTGGTGAGATTAGTACAACACGTGCCCTGGATGAGATGGAGGGCAGCAGCAGCCAGAGTGTGCTAGTGCTTGTGAAGGATCACGGCAAGCCAGCACTGTCCACTACAGCCACATTGAGTGTGTCATTTGTGGCAAGCACTCAGGTAATCCATAGAGATGCTCACCTTCCTAGAATGGGAGGGAGTCCAAAGCCATTGGTGGACAATGTCAACGTCTACCTGATTGTTGCTATCTGCTCAGTATCCAGCTTGTTCCTGCTTGTGATTATAGTATACATGGCTCTGCGATGTCAGTGTCAACCCAAGGAGCCTGTGATGTATGGCCCTGGCACAGCCACACTGGTTTGTGCCAGTGAGGTGGGCAGCTGGTCCTATTCAAATCGCCACAGCCACATCCTGGCAGCTGCGAGTGGGGAGCCTGGTGCCAAAAATGATCTGATGGTTTTCAGTCCTGGTATTCCTTCCATTGTGGAGAATGGGAAGCAGCAGGATCTGCTCTGTGCAACGGTTAGTGCCCTTTCTGAACTATTTTATTATGCATATTTGTGTTATAATATTTGTGTATATAATTTTCATCTGTTTTATTTTTAAAATAAATAATTACAAGTTGCCCCCAAGACATTTTAATGGATTTTAATGGTTTATAATATCTTTTGGGTTTCTCTTTTGGTCTAATAGCAATGATACAAACATTTATGCACTATAATAAGAGGTATGAAAGAAGCATAAGACTTCCTTTATGAGGTTTTCATGAATCTGGTTTTTATCTTTTGCCCCCTTCAGATGGGACAGTATCAGACTCTTTTTCATGGCCTAACAAAATAGCAAAAATGAAAGAAAAAAAATCATTTCCTGTTGTATTGTGAAAATGACTTTTGATATTTTCTCAGTGCATGAGCATTCTACCTGGCCAATAAAATAGTGAGGGAGAATTGAGTTTTAATTCCCCTTCTTGTTTTAACCTCTCTCCCCCTGCCAAACACACAAGGAAACCTCCTGATGTCATGAATAAGGCAATCACGTCATCCTCTTGTAATAATTGATGTTGAGGATAGCTCCTTGAAAAGGTTTTTGGAAAAAGGCTTGTGAAACCGCATCTTAAGATTGAAGAGGTGTCATCTTTCTGAGTATTATTTGTAAATTGATTATATTGTACTCCAATGTTATGCAAATATTTTGGTGTGGATTGACAAGTAATAAATGAAAAATGGAAATAATTGTGCAACACAAATATAATATCAAACCTAGAGGGAGAGAAGTATAACTACCTCCTCTGACACGGATACCATGCTTTATCCTCTGTCTTGGAAGGATGTCTTTCACACACTGTATTGTGTCCAGCTGATCATGCTTTTAGTCTACTCCATATTGAGGGATGAGTGTTCTGCATGTGCTCAAAAGTATCCTTTTTATTTTTACTTTCTCCAGAAGAACCCTTGTTTCACAGGGAGGAAGGTAACTTGAAGTACATGATTTGGATGCAGAATCTGCAGACAGGGAAAGGGCAAAACTACCTTTAATCTCCCTTTTGTAAGGAACTAACTGACAATATAAAGCATGTGCCAAAAATGATCTGATGGTTTTATACATTTACAATATAAATATAATGTATAATACTTCTTTGATTCTAGATACTGAAAAAGCTTTTGATCAGCTGGACTGAACTATTCTAAAACACTTGCTCTTAAGAATGAATAGAAGTCAGTCATTTTAAAGTCATTGTCACACAGTATAGTGCGATCAATAGGGCAAGTAACATCAATGGTCATTTCTCAGAGAGCTTTCAATTCAAAGAGGCGCTGCACAGGGGTACTACAGGAGTACTACAACCATCAAAGTTCTTGGCTGAGCCATCAGACAGAATTAAAATCTTTCTGCTCACACACACTGTGGCTAATTTTGCTTAATTTTTCTTAAAGCATAGATGGAATTGGAAGAAGCCAAGTCTGGCTACAAAATAGATTAAAACAAACAATGGAGTGAAGCTTAACCAAAACTGAGAATCTATTCTAAAAGATTTAATGAAATAGGATAAAAGCATGCTTCTCTTCTCTTCTCATTTTGTAGAATGTCACAGTACACATTTCAGCAAGTATTATTGTAATTTTCAATTATTCTGTTGAATTTATCTCCTAATATTTCAACTCAGGGCAGAAGCTGTTTGCCAGTTATTCACTGCAAAATCAAATGCATAGGGTTTAAAATGTGGCAATACAGGCGTAGCCAATGCAAGACTATAAACCTATGGACAAGCTCTGGAGATGCATAAAAGATGCACGTATGACCTTTTGGTAGACCAATGCAGACCATCACGTCATACTACTGATTCACTTAGTGAGAGCACATTGAGAAGCTGGAAAGGAAAATTAACATATCTCTTACTCCATTCTATACAAATAATCTCTTTGTATATGGTAAAGAACTGCATACCTAAAAAAACTGGCATTAACTTCCAATAGACTTCATTGAGCATAAATAATGTATCTTATATAACCGTCTAACAGAAAAAGCAGAAGTGCCTGAAGTAATTTCAGTATCTACAAGGTAGGTATATCTTCATATCGACCTAATATATTGTATGGTGTAAATAGGGACCTTCTCTTCTCTTTTGAAAGTTTCCTAGTATCTGGGGTTGCCTTCACAAAGGGTTGCTTTTATTTTTTTGTAATTTTAATAAACTGCACAACAGCAAACATGACTTACCTTAATAAAGAATAAGAATAAGAACTTGATCTGGGAGAAAGGCAACTGGTGGATGCTAAGGGGGTTGGATTCTATGTTGTTTGTAGCCTTTTCTTTAAGGTGGCCTCTATGCTGATTATGTAGATGGTATTATACTATATTTTCCCAAGGCATATATAAGGTTGTCAAATGGTTGGTGGGGGAGGGGGAGGGTTGTGGGCTTAATCTAGACAAGATGGAAGTACATTTGATTGAGGGCATTTGTTTAGCCTGTTTTGGATGGAGCTGCGCTCAAGCTGAAGTCTCAGGTTTCTGGTTATTGTCATGTAGGGGAAAATCTCTCAGTCACAGTATTTTAATATTCTCTCACAGTATTTTAATCTCTCACAGTATTTTAATCTCTCACAGTATTTTAATATTCTTTTGGAAGCCGCCCAGAGTGGCTGGGGAAGCCCAGCCAGATGGGCGGGGTATAAATAAATAATAATAATAATAATAATAATAATAATTATTATTATTATTATTATTATTATAGTCCCCTGAGAGAAATGTGGGAGCACCATGATATATTTTCCTTTATTCTGTGCAACTGTTTTGGCGCAACATAACATATGCTGCTTCCAGGCAGTTTTCCCAGCTCCCCAAACTTGGTGTGAAAATCAGAAAAGTCAGCCACTGGTTGATAAGGACTCAAGCCTTATCCACACTTACCCTTTCTTCACTCTTGCCATGCACAAGTCCATGCTTAAAAACTCTGTGTCCAAGCATTTGTTTTTGCCCTGGTGCTTTCCTCATGAAAACCCACTCTTTAGTGCTCAGTAGGAGCAAATGTCAATTCAGGTTTTCTGTGGATTGCCATTTGCTGTGATTGAGCTATAAAGAGCAGGTTTTCGCAGGGAAAGCTCTGAAGTTAAAAAAGTGGGGAACACTCAGGCAAAGAGCTTTAAAGTGTGGACTGTACCTGGAAAGAGCAGAGGAAAAGTAGATAAACCCTCAGACACAAGCCAACTAAGCAGTTATTAATCACAGAATCTGGCTGAATTAGACAAATGGTATTCAGGGTGAATAATGGAAGAGCTGTTCCCCAATTATGTTATTCTAGGAATGTGTGCTTGAATGAAATTGGTGTGGTCAATGATGTGGTTCCTTCCCACACAAATGCTTCATGGAAACAGGTCCCAGACCTCTGATGCTAAGTATGCATGAGCCCAATATTTTCTCTCTTCAAGTAACGCAGAGCAGAACACAGCAGACAGTTTGCAGAATATCCATCTCCGCAATCTAGGGCAAATAAAACTAATGCCCTAAAATGGACCAAAGCAGTTCTGAAACAGCTATCCTGCCAGAGCAAACTACTACTACCCAGGGTTCAACACATGTCAATGCCATCACTGAACATGTATCAAAATACCCAAGGCCAGCAACTCTTTTAAAGGAAAGCTGGATGGCTAATAAGTTAAAATGCAGTGTAAAATTTACTTAATTGAAAGAGTTCTGTGAAATCAGAGTTATAACATACATTATAACATAATGCCTAAGGTCAGATGACAAGTACACAATCTTCTCAGTATTTAAAAGTTCAATCACACGGTGTCGCTGTTTGGTAAAAAATAGTGTCAGAGGACTGGAAAAGTCAGCTCCTCCTTCCTTTGTGCAGAGATCTGCAGCAAGTAATGAACCATCATGACTGCTCAACATAGGAACAGAAATGAACATCTAAGGTAGACACACATCAATTTCTATCTATTTGTACTCCTGGAAGAAACAAGACTGTGTGTATTCCTCTGTGCTCCGGATGCATTTTTAAAAATGGATGTTTGGAAACTAGGCTCCTTGGTGAGGCTGAGGCTGTTGCAGCTGGTTCTTCTTCACACAGCCTGGGAAATGGGGAGCGGCCAGCTCCATTATTCTGTGCCGGAGGAATCCCAGCACGGCACCTTTGTGGGCCGCATTGCTCAGGATCTGGGACTGGAGATGGATGAGCTGGTGCCTCGGATGTTCAGGATGGAGTCTGCAGATCATAGGAACTATTTTGAGGTAAATGTTCAGAATGGCATTTTGTTTGTTAACTCCCGGATAGACAGGGAGGAGCTGTGTGGCAAGAGCTCTTTGTGTGCTGTTCACCTGGAGGTGATTGTGGACAAACCTTTGAGGGTCTTCCATGTAGAGGTGGAAATCAAGGATATAAATGACAATGCCCCCACTTTCTCTGTAAATATAGTAAATCTTTTTATATCAGAATCAACAGCATATGGTTCTCGCTTTTCTCTAGAGAGTGCATCAGATGCTGATATTGGTAAAAATGCCCTTATTGCATACAGGATCAGCTCAAATGAATACTTTGCTCTGGACACTCAGGATAAGCAAGCTAAAAGCCCTCTACCAGAGCTTGTTTTAAAAAGGACTTTGGACAGAGAGGACATCTCTCTGCACCATTTATTGCTTACAGCAACAGATGGGGGTCAACCAGAACTCACAGGAACAATACAGCTAGTGATAACTGTGCTGGATGTTAATGATAACAGACCTGTCTTTAATCAGTCAGTTTATGAAGTGAGTTTACTGGAAAGTTCAGCTGTTGGGACTCTTGTTGTAAAGTTAGAAGCAACAGATATTGATGAGGGCATTAACAAGGAGATTACCTATCGCTTTAAAACATCCTTACCCACAACTATTCAAACAATGTTTGAGATTGATGAGAATACGGGGGAGATCAGGCTAAAAGGAAAATTAGACTTTGAAGAAGTGAATTTATACGAAATTCAAATACAAGCCATTGACAAGGGACATGCACCAATGGAAGGAGACTGCAAACTTTTGATAGAAGTTTTGGATGTGAATGACAATAGCCCTGAGATGTCACTGAAGTCGCTATCCGTGCCAGTTGCAGAGGACTCCCCACCAGGGACAGTGGTGGCTCTGATCAGCATCTCAGACAGGGACTCTGGGGCTAACGGGCAAGTGAGCTGCTCTGTGACGCCCTCCCACCTACCCTTCAAGCTATTGTCCACTTTCAAGAATTATTACTCTCTGGTGGTGGCTGAGCCCCTAGACCGGGAGCGGGAAGCAGAATACAAGCTGGTAGTGACTGCCCAGGATCAAGGGACTCCATCGCTATCAACCAGCAGCACCCTGGTGGTACCCATTGGTGACATGAACGACAACGCTCCTGCTTTTCCTCAGTCTTCCTACACAGTCTTTGTGAAGGAGAACAACCCACCAGGTGCTCACATCTTCACGGTGTCTGCCTCGGACCCAGATGTGGCTGAGAACAGTCTGATCAGCTACTGGCTGGACGAGAAGCTCTGGCCCCTGTCAAGCTACATCTCTGTGCACTCAGAGAGTGGGAAGCTCTATGCTCTTCAGCCCTTGGACTATGAGGAGGTGAAGCTGCTGGAGTTCCAAGTGAGAGCCAAGGATGCTGGGCTGCCCTCCCTGTGTGGCAATGTGACGGTGCAAGTCTTTGTGGTGGATGAGAACGACAATGTGCCAGCTGTGACTGTACCAGTAGAGGAGGCTCCCACCCTGCTGGTGGTCCCCCTGACAGCTGGGCATGTGGTGGGCAAGATCCGTGCCCTGGATGCTGACTCAGGCTACAACGCATGGCTGCGCTATGAGATGCATGAGGGGTCCAGTAGGCTTTGGCGGGTGGGACTGTACAGTGGTGAGATCAGTACAACACGTGCCCTGGAGGAGGCAGAGGGCAGCAGCAGTCATAGTTTGCTGGTTGTGGTGAAGGACCATGGGAAGCCCGCTTTGTCAGCCACCGCCACGCTGAGTATTTCGTTGGTGGCCAGTGTCCAAGCCCTCCCAGCTGATGCCCGCCTTCCCAGAAGGGGAGGGAGCCCCAATCCCCTGGCGGATAACATGAACATCTACCTCATCATAGCCATCTGTGCAGTGTCCAGCTTGTTCCTGCTGGCCATCATTGCGTATATGGCCCTGCGGTGCCATTGCCAGCCTAAGGAGGCCATGGTGTATGGTCCTGGAACAGCCACGCTGGTGTGTGCCAGTGAGGTGGGCAGCTGGTCCTATTCAAATCGCCACAGTCACATCTTGGGCATGACAGGAGACTCCAATGCCAAAAGCGACCTCATGGTTTTCAGCCCCAACATACCTGTTTTTGCAGAGACTGCACAGGTAGGGAATACAAAGGAGCTGGTCCCAGATTCTTCTGGACAGGTGAGTCTCTGATTTTATTAGAATTGCTTTTATGGTAGGACAGGTTTTCTGTTAATATGTCCACAATATGCATATATTGTAAATATCAGATCAGCCTGTGGAAATTTTTAAAACATTGTTTTTATCCATTATACTTTTCTATGACGTGTACTATTATCTGATGCCTTTAAAGCATAAAGATTTTAAAATATATGAAGGTAATGCACTTTGATCACATAAAATAATTCTTCCTAACAACAAAACAATTAACAGTGGTCAACTGGATCTAATTGTACTGAAGGGTGTGGGTGAAAATTAACTGGAAGGGGAACATAGAAATTTCCATGGTATGGAAGAAAAGGTGATGCAAGGCTTCTGAAAGACACATGAACACCCAAATCAACTAAATTGGTTACAACAATGGACATTATCTATGCAGAAATATCAACATTAATAAATGATTACATCGAAAAAACAAAGATCTTTAGAAAAAATATTGTTATATCCACTGTTTGAGCGGCAAGAAATTTCAGGGGTGCCAGCACATACCTTGTACTTGGTTTCCTCAGAATGAAGGTAAGTGGAGATGGTGGCATTTGTGTGATATAATGTTCTGTACGGTGGTGTCCAAATTTTTTTCAAAGAGGGCCAGATTTGTTGTAGACCTTTTTTAAGGATTGAACTTGTTGCGCTTTTTTTAGGGTTGAAGTTGCTGAGGTTTTTTTAAGGATTTTACCCCAAGAATAAGCTGCCACAGGGGCCGGATTAAACCAACCGTCAGGCTGGATTAGGCCCCCGAAATGGACTTTGAACATGCCTGGTTTCCACCTATGTGTGGGCTGAGCGTAACATGGAAGACTTCACAGCATTAACACTGTAACAGATCCTGCTCATCCCTTAGGTCCCGCCCACCCCGTCATAGTTTTGGATTGAGCACAGTCAGGACTTTGCATCTTCCCTGCAGATGATACTGGCCAAGGCATATTTTTTTTACACTCATAGAAGACATCAGCTCCAGCCAGGGAAGGAGGGGGGAAGCCTGCCTCACTTTAGCCCACTTCTGGAAGCACCTCTAGCTAGCTGTTTCTGTGGCAACCAAATGCTTGTATCTCATGTAAAGAGATACAAAACGGACTTGGCTAGAGTCATTAACTTAACAAAGAGACTGGTTTGACCTCTGTTCCAAACAGAATCCTGTCTTACAGTGGTGAAACTACAGGGTTGGAGGGGACTGAAAAATGGTATGCACCCATCTTATAACACTAAAATAGAAGGAAAAGAAAAAGCAACTTGGCTTTGTATTTGACAAAAACATTCAGCATGATCCTGCCTCTTCCCCATACAAAGAGTGGTGTGCAAAGGTGTTCTGAATAGCAAAGTGTCATACTCTTTCCCTTCAGTAATTGGCCTTCTGTGGCCTGTAGTTCCAGCCATTTATGATGAAATCAGGTACACTATAGAGAACTTGACACCCATCATTAATTACTTATCACCCAAACAAAAAAACCAATGAGCTTGATTTGGTGCATCTTTTATTTTATTTTATTTAACAGAATTTATATGCCTTTTAATCATCAAAACCTGTAAATGGGCTGCATAAAAGGTTGACAGTTTAAGAGGCTGAAAAAGATAGAGAGTTTGGAAAGAGATAACACTTCCTCACTGCACCAATGAGCACTGAAACAGGTTATTCCAACTAGCACAGGGGGATCAGTTCAAAAGGAAGAGGCAGCAGGTTGAATTCAACTAAGCCCTACTCTGTATAGACCCATTGAAATTAATAAACCTAAGTTAGTCATGTCTTAATAATATAATAGGTCTACTTGGAGTAGGACTAGCATTGAATGTGACCCATTCATTCCTGACCCATTTGGAGTCTCTGAACTAATCATGATGTAGAGAAAGCAAACAGGATCAGCAAATGAAGAATTTTAATTGAGAGTTTAAAGGAAAAGTTTGAAAGGGAATCCAGGAAGACCACAATACCACAGAGAGCCACAGAACATGGCCAGTGAGCAGGGTGCTGTGCTGACATGCCATGGCTGTGCTTTGTTTTCCTGTCTGAGGATGTATAAAACTTGCAGCAAGTGCAAGCTGGTATTGCTGCTGGAAGAGAAAATGCAAGGGCTTGAGACATGTCCACCCATTCTTTGGCTCATCATGGAAAATGAATAATTTCTAGCAGGAACAAAGGAAATACTTTCAAAAGGACAAAAGGAGGGATCAATTTCTAAGGAAGGTGAAGAAAACCAGATGCAGGAGGTGGGCACATGGAAGAATGTTACACAGGATCAAGATAATCAAGAAGCCTTGTGTCTTTTGGAGCTGTGGAACCGATTCCAGGAACTGCCCATGGAAATTATTTAACAAAGTTCCCCATGATATTCTTGTTAGGAAACTGGTAAATGTGGTTTGATGATGTTACTGGGTGAGTTTATAGCTGGTTGAAAAACTGTATCCCAAGAGTGCTCATCAATGACTCCTTGCTAACCTGGAGACAAGTTGGGTGTCACACCTTAGGCCCAGTGTCGCTAAATATATTTATAAATGTCTTGGACAAAGAAGTCAAGGGAATCAAGGTGATACCAAACTGGGTGGAGTAGTTAGTACTTTAGAAGAGAGAGACTGGATCAGAGATGATCTTGATAGGGTGGAGAATTGGGCCAAAGCAAACAAAATGAGTTTCAAGAGAAATAACTGTAAAGTTCTGCATTTAGGTAGGAATAATATAGAATGGGTGCTGTTTGATATGTGAGCCATACATGTGAAAGGACCACAAGCTAGGCATAAGTCATAATGTAGTTAAGAAGACTGATGCACCAAAGTATACTGTCCAGATCACAAGATGTAATGACACTCTATTCTGCTTTAGTCAGATTTCATCTAGAGTTCTATGTCCAGTTCTGGGCATTGTAATTCAAGAAGGATATTGACTGACTAGAATGTGTTCATGGGAAGGTGACAAAGTCTTGGAGACTAAGTCCTATGAGGAAAGGAGTTGGGTGTGTTTAGCCTGGAGAAAAGAAGATTTATGATAGTCATTCTGAAATATTTGAAGGGCTGATACTTTTAGAATATGGAGTAAATGTGTGTGTGTGTGTGTTTGTTCTAGAAGGTAGGATATGAATGAAAGAGCCTATCTAGCAAGAAAAAATGTTTAGACCAAAAGTTAGGAAGAACTTCCTGATTGCATGAGCTGTTTAACAATGGAGCACACTTCCTCAATAGGTGTTAGGCTTTCATTCATTAGAGGATTTTAAATAGAAGCTAAATAGCCACCTATCAGGGATACTGTAGTGGCAGGCTCCTGCATTAGCAGGAGGGTAAACTAGATAATCGCCAATGAACTTTCTTACTCTATCATTCTATGATACTCAAACAAAATTAGTTTCAAGAGAAAAGTTGTGGGAAAAGATGTGGGAAAAGTTCAACTTTTCAGTGCCTCCACCAGGTTATTTTCCTGCATAGATCTGCCTATTGTGAACAGATTCCTTCTATTATAGAGTCATCCTTTTTTTTCTTATTCTAAAAGCAAGATTTCTATACAGTTTTATATATATAGAAAATCTTAAGTGGTTTACATACATAATAGTTAAAAAATGTTCATTTAAAAAATAGCAGTGATACAGACTTCTTCAAGCAGTGGCCCAGATGGGTGATTATCCTTCTGCTCACTTTCTTCTGTCTACCTTAACCTCTGCAAAATCTCTTTGAGTCACTATTATTGGACATGAAGTTTTTCATCTTTGAGAGAAATGGAGAACTGAAGAGACATTGGTTCTAGAGCAGCGTCCCAACTCATACAAAATTGCTTGTTGGCTTTGTTAATAATAATAATAATAATAATAATAATAATAATAATAATACCCAGTCCATCTGACTGGGTTGTCCCATCCACTCTGGGTGGCTTCCAACCAATATAGAGACATAATAAAACATCAAACATTAAGAACTTCCCTCTCTGCCGACCTCGTGTTGGAATGAGTGGACATATAAGGACTGCCCTTCTGCTTAGGTTGTGAGATTTACCATCTGCTAAGGGGTCCAGCCCACCTAGCAGTTCGAAAGCACCCCTAAGTGCAAGTAGATAAATAGGTACCGCTTTATAGCGGGAAGGTAAATGGCGTTTCCGTGTGCTGCGCTGGTGCTGGCTCGCCAGAGCAGCTTCGTCACGCTGGCCACGTGACCCGGAAGTGTCTCCGGACAGCGCTGGCCCCCGGCCTCTTAAGTGAGATGGGCGCACAACCCTAGAGTCGGACACGACTGGCCCGTACGTGCAGGGGTACCTTTACCTCTTTACTAAGTGGTCCAGCAGAGGAATAGCAAGGAACCCAAAGGCAAGACAGACAAGGTTCAGAAACAGCATGAAGGCATTGTTCCAAGCAGCATTAATTGCCAGTCTTTGCAAATCACAAGCAGAAAACTCCTCTCTTCACTTATTTGGCTGACAGGCCCAAACCATAAGAATTCCTACTTAATCCTTGTATGACCAGCTATTCCCAACATGGATGGATGGACGCAGATATGTGGGATGGTGGGAGCTGGGTTTACATAGCTTTTTCCAGGCTCCACCCTCAAAATGTGGCAGATTTTTACATATTGACTTCATCATGTCCTGCTCCCATTCAGGACTGAACTCAAAGGTCCCTCACAGCCTTCAGAGACAGACTGTTTCCTACTCCCACCCCTATCAGCAACAATAAGATGAACAGATTCAGCTGCTTTTCTAAGTCATTGTAAGACAATTTCCTTTGAATAAAAGAGTTCAACTTGAAATAAAGGACACTGTATTTTCCTATGTAGCTGTGGTAATACAGCACCTCTCCATTTATGGATGCTTCCTCCATATTTGGTTGTATGTATGTGAAGGATGATTTGAGTTAAGAAACTCTATTGTTGGAGGATGTTAGTCAAGCGATCTCATTCAAAGTGTGTTTGTAACTTCATCTGGTATCAAAGTGACATGCTTTCAAACAAATGGGTGGGGTGAGTGAGATGTTGGTAATACTTAATGAGATTTAGGCTGCAATCTTATGCACACTTACTTTGGAGTAAGCCCCAGTGAACAATAGGAGTGTTCATTGCATTGCACAGTATGTACTCTCCTGATTTGAAAGAGATAACCAAACTTCCTTCTGAATTGTGGAGCCTCCTAGGTTTAGAAAGAATAAATGTGGTTTGCCTTGTTCTGTAAGGCATTCCTCTCGATGACTCCTGAATGTTGTTAACTTAGAGTGCATGGGAAGAAGATGACATTTTATTTCCCCCAAAAAACATTTTCTTTTAAAAATGTTTCTTAATTTTTTTTAGTTAGTGCTATCCCATAATTTTTTTTGTTTTGTTTCAACTATACAGAGGTGTACCTAGGCTCCCTTGCACCCTTGACAAGGAGCTGTATAGCACACACACACACACACACACCGCTGTCCCTTGTGCCCTTGGCAAGATGTCTTGGCACCTCCAAAGCCAGAAAAGACCATAGACCAGAAACTCAAAAAGTTTGCTTCCTGTGGCCTTTCATGCTCTGCCAGTGACTTCCTCCATGGCCATTAGGGTTGGGTCTGGTCTGCTCTCCTCTTCCTCCCCCACCTCTGTGAGTCTGTCTGTCTGCCTCCCTCTCTCCCTCCATCTGCTCACTGCTTTCCCTCCTGGCCACTCCAAGCCAGAGTGTCCCCCTGGATGTGTGCAGGGAGCCCAACCTGGCCACCTCCTAGGTATACCCCTGCACTTATATTATGAAACGGAATTATACACTGACAGGGGGATCCTGCTAGTTCTTGAGTTTATTTTGACTGCAGCATTGGGACATGGCAACTGAAAGGGGGCAACACACACTAACGGGGGGAGGAGGCTGGATTTTATATATTCATTAGAAAATCCATCCAAATTCTTCCCCTTGTAGTGTTATAGTAGGTTTATTATATATGTTCACTAATGAAATTAATTTGGGATTGGCAGTGTTCACATGTCCACAGCGTCCCCTAAAACATAGATGAATGCAGACATCTGTATGCTAACAATTCCGTATTTTGTGAAAGTCTTAAAAAAAAAAATCCCTCACTTTTGGAGAATCACAGTTACATAGAAAGATAGCTTTTTTTTTAACTTGGCAAAATACAGTATATGATTTCTGTAAAGCAGATGGTTCTAAGAATCCTTAAACCCACCCTAGGCAATGAAATTGAAATTATAAGATGAAAGCCATACAAGATTCTGAAAAGGGAAGGTATCCTTGGTCTCTAGGGACCTACCTGTCTGAGGCATTCATGTCTGAACACTACCCACATTCAAGCAGGGCACTGTTTACTTGAATGGTGAGACATGCTCAGAAACATATGGGCATGTATAGAAATAGGAATAATGAAGTGGGGAGAAATAAGTTGCAGCCTCCTTCAATCTTCTGTCTCAAATTGCCCAGCTTTCCTCTCACTTTTTGTGGTCATTAGTGTATAATTTTGTTCCTAGTTCCTTATTTGCAGTTGATTTATCAACCGTTCCCCTGAGATTTTCACCAACTAAAGTGGAAAAGCAACCCCTAGAGGGAAAGCCCTTTATTTTCAAATTCCAGTAGACGATGTATCATATTCCCATCAACACTTTTCCTTGCATTAAAATGCTGAAACCAAAACTAATTTCAAGATTTCAAAATTAAGTTGTAAACCACGCAATAAATGAATCTTGTTGTTTGTAACAATGATTTTAAAAGTTGGAGACTATCAAAATCATAGAACTGAAATGACAACAGTTACCAGCAAACGAAAAGATACATGCAGAATATAATAAACATATCTTTCAAGTAAAATTTTATGCTTTATTATTCATATTACTTTATTTTCATTGACTGAAAAGTGATGGCATGAAACAAGACTCCAAGAAGGCCTTCTCATATAAGCCAACTGTACTTCCCCATCTAGTCGCACGATGTCGCTCTCTGCTTAAATATCTTGCTAAGAATAAAGGGTGTACACAAGGCTCTTCCTCTTCTTTGTCATCAGATATCTTTCCGTGCTTGCAAATGGATGGATGAGCAAAATGGATACTATGGAGCTGGATTAATTTTTTTAAAAAAACTATTTTATAAAGCTGTGACATGAAGTAATATATAAAATATATGAAATATTTCTGAGATGGTTGCTCCATGGGGAGACTGTTCTTCAGTGGGGAGAAGGCAGCTGCTGCAGCTGATTTTGCTTCACACAGCCTGGATGATGGGGAGCGGCCAGCTCCATTATTCCGTGCCTGAGGAATCCCAGCATGGCACCTTTGTGGGCCGCATCGCCCAGGATCTGGGGCTGGAGGTGGAAGAGCTCATGCCTAGGATGTTCCGGATGGAGTCCCAAGGAGATGGGGACTATTTCAAGGTAAATGAGCAGAATGGGATTTTGTTTGTTAATTCTCGGATAGACAGGGAGGAGCTGTGTGGTAAAAGCCCAATATGCAGTATTCACCTGGAGGTGATTGTGGATAAACCCCTGACTGTCTTCCATGTGGAAGTGGAGATTGCAGACATAAATGACAATGCCCCTGTTTTCTCAGTCAGAGAGCAGAATTTAGCTGTCTTAGAATCGAGAGTGCAAGGTTCCCATTTCCCAATAGAAGAAGCTTCTGATGCAGACATTGGTAGCAATGGCCAGGTAAACTACAAGCTCAGCCCCAATGAATATTTTTCTGTGGAAGAGATAAAGAATTATGAGCACAGCAAGTCTTTGGTTCTGACATTAAAAAGACCACTGGATCGTGAAGTATCTGCAGAGCATCACCTGCTCCTTTCGGCATCAGATAGTGGGCAGCCAGCACTCACAGGCACAATCCTGCTGATAATAACTGTGGTCGATGTCAATGACAATGCACCTGCCTTTAACCAATCAGTTTACAAAACTGAATTATTGGAAAACTCTGCAATGGGAACATTAGTTATTAAACTGGAGGCAAGCGATTTGGATGAGGGGATTAATAAAGAGATTTCCTATTCACTTAGCAACCTTGTTGCTCCAAGAATAAAGGAAATGTTTAGCATAGATCCTAATAATGGAGAACTTAGAGTAAAAGGAACTGTGGATTTTGAAGAGAGTACAACATATGATATTCAAATTGAAGCAAGAGATAAAGGTGGTTATCCTTTGTCTGGACATTGCAAAGTTATCATTAAGGTTTTGGATGTGAATGACAATAGTCCTGAGATGTCACTGAAGTCACTATCTGTGCCAGTTGCAGAGGACTCCCCACCAGGGACAGTGGTGGCTCTGATCAGCATCTCAGACAGGGACTCTGGGGCTAACGGGCAAGTGAGCTGCTCTGTGACTCCCTCCCACCTACCCTTCAAGCTATTGTCCACTTTCAAGAATTACTACTCTCTGGTGGTGGCTGAGCCCTTGGACCGGGAGCGGGAAGCAGAATACAAGCTGGTAGTGACTGCCCAGGATCAAGGGACTCCATCACTATCAACCAGCAGCACCCTGGTGGTACCCATTGGTGACGTGAACGACAACGCTCCTGCTTTTCCTCAGTCTTCCTACACAGTCTTTGTGAAGGAGAACAACCCACCGGGTGCTCACATCTTCACGGTGTCTGCCTCGGACCCAGATGTGGCTGAGAACAGCCTGATCAGCTACTGGCTGGACGAGAAGCTCTGGCCCCTGTCAAGCTACATCTCGGTGCACTCAGAGAGTGGGAAGCTCTATGCTCTTCAGCCCTTGGACTATGAAGAGGTGAAGCTGCTGGAGTTCCAAGTGAGGGCCAAGGATGCTGGGCTGCCCTCCCTGTGTGGCAATGTGACGGTGCAAGTGTTTGTGGTGGATGAGAACGACAATGTGCCAGCTGTGACTGTACCAGTAGAGGAGGCTCCCACCCTTCTGGTGGTCCCCCTGACAGCTGGGCATGTGGTGGGCAAGATCCGTGCCCTGGATGCTGACTCGGGCTACAACGCATGGTTGCGCTATGAGATGCATGAGGGGTCCAGTAGGCTTTGGCGGGTGGGACTGTACAGTGGTGAGATCAGTACAACACGTGCCCTGGAAGAGGCAGAGGGCAGCAGCAGTCATAGTTTGCTGGTTGTGGTGAAAGACCATGGGAAGCCCGCTTTGTCAGCCACCGCCACACTGAGTATTTCGTTGGTGGCCAGTGTCCAAGCCCTCCCAGCTGATGCCCGCCTTCCCAGAAGGGGAGGGAGCCCCAATCCCCTGGCAGATAACATGAACATCTACCTCATCATAGCTATCTGCGCAGTGTCCAGCTTGTTCCTGCTGGCCATCATTGCGTATATGGCCCTGCGGTGCCATTGCCAGCCTAAGGAGGCCATGGTGTATGGTCCTGGAACAGCCACGCTGGTGTGTGCCAGTGAGGTGGGCAGCTGGTCCTATTCAAATCGTCACAGTCACATCTTGGGCGTGACAGGAGACTCCAATGCCAAAAGCGACCTCATGGTTTTCAGTCCCAACATACCTGCTTATGCAGAAAATGGAAAACCGCAGGATCTGCTCTGTGCAACGGTTAGTAACCCCTCTTTTAATTCATATAGTTTGTTCAGAACATTTGTTCAATAACCGGAATACATTTTATTTACATTTTAATGTTTCCAAGGTTCATATGAACCACCTTAAGAAGTATGCCACTAATATTCCAAATACTGGTAAGGGATTTTGTATTTGTATTTGGTCAGAAAGCAACACCTTTCAAATGATCCTTGATTTGTACTTGGTTATTTGGAAGATTGTTGTTGTTGTTTAGTTGTTTACTTGTGTCCGACTCTTTGTGACCCCGTGGACCAGAGCACGCCAGGCACTCCTGTCTTCCACTGCCTCCCGCAGTTTGGTTAGTAGCTTCGAGAACACTATCCAACCATCTTGTCCTGTTGTCCCCTTCTCCTTGTGCCCTCAATCTTTCCCAACACCAGGGTCTTTTCCAGGGCGTCTTCTTTTCTCATGAGGTGGCCAAAGTATTGGAGCCTCAGCTGTAATCTTGCCTTTTTCAGTTGCTTGTTTTTTGATGAATATCCTCTGTCAGGAGCAAGACAAAGAGATCTGTTCCTTCTTCTGCATTTGGCTCGGAAGGTAACATGAGAATTCTTTTCTTAGTTCCTTAATCTAAAAAGAATATTGCAGAGTTGGGGAAAGTTAGGAAAATTGCAACCAAAATGATCAAGGGGACGGAGCAACTCCCTTATAAGGAAATGTTGCAGCATTTGGAACTTTTTAGTTCAGAGTAAAGGTGAGTAAGAGGAGACATGATAGAATATAAAATAGTGTATAACATATGCATGGCATGGAGAAAGTGGAGAGAGAAAAGTTATAGGAATAATGGAGGACGACAGGAGGTTGGATGCAGGTGAGCTGAGCAGAAGCACCCTGGCAAGCATGCTCCAAGACAAGCTGCCGGCTAGCTCTGTAGAGGCTCCTTTTATTAGCACAATATGCAAAACCAGTCAGATACATTTTGGACTGTGACTTTTACACATCTTCCAATCCCGAGATTGAGGGGTGGTACAAAGTTATTTTGGAACCTGTTTCCACCGCGTCATTTTCCCCTTGAACAATGTATGATGAAGAAGACAAAGGTCACAGACAGGGCACGGCAGACCACTAAGAGAGCAAAGGTTAGACAGAGGGCATGATGTTCAGACAGCTGTGGCTTTGTCTGCAGATGGAAGTGTGCGCCACACCTGAAAGTCACACGGTCAGACAGCTGAGGCCTGTCTGTGGGCGGAAGTGTGCTCCACACCCGGTGGTCATTCCTTCAAAAGTTTTTCTCCCTCTCATAGCACTGGAACTGGTGGAGGTTGGAAGATTTAGGAGAGATAACAGAAAGTACCTTTTCACACAGCACATAGTCAAGCTGGGGAATCCATGCCCCCAGGAGGCAGGGATGGCCATCAACCTAGGTGGCTTTAAAAGAAGACAGGGCAAATTCGAGGAGGAGAGGGCTGTTGATAACTGCTAGTCATGATGGCTATCCTGTGCTTCCACAGTCAGAGGCTTCTGAATACCTGTTGTGGGTTCCTGGTCTTTATTTTATTTTATTTTTCATTTGTAGTTGTAGGGAGGATGCTGCTAGTACTTTCCCACCCTTGCTAAGTTCTGGATACCTGGAGTTGAGTGTTGGCATGTGCACCATTTGTTTAGTTTTTAGGGAACTTCTTTATTTTTAGAAATTCAAGTTTTCAAATATTCCAGATTTCCAGTCAAAAGAATTTTAATGAATATTTGTGTGTGTCCCTCCAAGCCAGAAAATGTGAGATAATTTCTGGGCATGTAGGCAGGTATTGTTTTCCTGTGAATAGTAACTTTTAATTTTTTTTTTAATTGTGAAATACAATGTTGTAAAAAGATTTGCATAAAAGAGTAGTTAAAAAAAATGTGTTGCTCCAAGTCAGGTAAGGTTGCACTTCTTTTCTCATTCTTTTTCCTGCGCCCCATAACTGGAAGGACAATTTTTATTTTTAATGCTCCCCCCCGTCTATTATTTGGGGTGATGAAAAATAAATAAACAATTCAAGGCAGTGCTTGCTGCTGGAGGGCGGCTGCTGGAGGTAAGCACAAGTGCTGCCAGAAAAGAAATGAAAATTGGACACAGGGGAAGGGGAAGGGAAAGAATTAAAGTGAAGGATTGATCCACTCACAGGAAGACCCCTGATGCAAAGCGTCCATTACCCAAAGTGCAGTGGTTTGGGGGAACTTACTCAATTATCTCTGGATTGGGGAAATCTAAATTTAGAAGGTAAAATGTGAGAGATCACAGTTCTCTGCTTGGACAACATGTGGATGGAGTTGAATTAATGAGAACACAAGCAGCTTCAAATCCAAATTATGCTCTAGTGTGGACGAGCCCAACTATAGATCTGAGATTCTGTCTGTGTACATACCATAGCTTTATATTCAAAGCCTCAAAGCATCCTGGAAACTGTAGTTTGTTAAGGGTGCTGGGACTTGTAGCTTTAAAGGCATGGTGTGTATTCCATCTGACCAGAGACATAACCACTACACCTATTAATGAAACCTACCCAACCCTGGTTTGGGGGATCAGATGAACAGACTGCCTTTATCAAGATTATCTGCAGTTATGGACAGCACAGGTGTAATATGTGTGTTGTAATGTGTGTAATATTTAACATTTTCTATTGCACTAAGCCCTATAGGTAGGTCAGGAACCAACGTGACTCTCTGTCCCCAGTATCCAATTCATGGAGCTGGTCCAGGACAATACCATAGACTGGAATCAGGACCTGAGCTTTTAATTTGTTCATAGGTTATCTAGAATTAGGTGTGAACAGTGAGGTCGTCAGTTTGCTAATAATACCAAATTGTTCATCAGAGGGTTAAAACAAGGAGGGATTTCACTTTTCTCTGAAAGTATTTCTTCTAACTGGGTGAATGAGAGTAAAGAGCCAAATGCAGTTCAATGTAAGCAAGTGAAAATCAATGCACATTGAGGCAACCCCTTCTCTGCGCTTATGCTCATGGGATCTAACCTGGCAGTTACAGACTAAGAACGAGACCTTGGGATGATAGCGGACAGTGTGATGAAGGTGCCAGTCCGGTGCACAGCTGCTGTGAAAAATGTGAATTGCAAGCAATTGCAAATAAAATTGCCAACATTGTCATTTGTTTATTACCTTTTAAAATATCTCACCAAGGAGTTCAAGGTGGCACACCTTGTTCTGCCTCTTTCCATATTATCCTCACAACAGCACTGTGAAGTTGGTTGAGCTGAAAGTTGGTGACTGGTCCAAGGCCAGCCAGTGAGGATCATGGCTGACTGGGGATTTGAACCTGGGTCTCCCAGGTTCTTGTCTTGACACTCTAACCACTGCACCACACTGGCTTTATGCCATCATTATCATCATTAGTCACTTTCCTCACAAAAGTGACTATAAGCAAAAACAAATATAAACACCAAAACCAATTACAACAAACACAGCCAATAAAAAAACCTAACCAACACATCTATACCAATAAAAGACAGGTCTTACACTAAGAGGGGCCTCATGCACTGGAAACCCTACAAATTAAGGGCCCAAAGTCCAGATAAAAAGGAAAGTTTTTGCCTGGCACCTAAAAATAAAGAGAGCACCAGGCAAGTCTCCCTAGGGAGAACATTTCATAAATGGGGAGCCACCACAGAAAAGGCCTGTTCTTGTGTTGCTACAATTCAGACCTCCTGTGGGCCTCAGAGGATGATCACAGGCTTTGGATCAGTTCATGTGGGGATTGATGGTCCTTTAGGTATTGGGGTGCTGAGTCACATAAGAAATTATAGATCAAAACCAGCATTTTGAATTGAGCCTGGAAACTACCGGTAATTAGTAGCGGGTACAGTCATGCTGGAATTGGTGTTACATATTTAGACTGCCCTGCCCTGGTGAATAATCTGGGAAGATAAACACTGTATAATTTATTAACAAAATAATGAGGTTGATTAAAAATTATTTAATAATTAAAATATCAGAAGAGTCTGTAAACCAGGAAAAACAATTTTGGAAGCCTTGCTAAACCACTGTGCTTGTGAATTCAGACACATGGTGTCACTCTTGCCTACAAAATCTCTTCAGGAAACCTAAGGAGATTTGCTGCCCTGCCCTCAGATAGAAAGCAAATCATTTGATGCAAGAATCCAGAGGAAAACCCCAGATACCATCAAAATATAACAGAACAAAGCAGATTCCACCATTTCAAGAGCAATTTCCATTAACCAAAGGATGAATTCATAGCATCAGGAAACCATTCTGGCCATCATTCTAAGAAACCACAGCTCAATGGAGACAGAGAGAAGGCAGCTGCTGCAGCTGATGGTGCTTCACGCAGCCTGGATGGTGGGGAGCGGCCAGCTCCATTATTCTGTGCCGGAGGAATCCCAGCATGGCACCTTTGTGGGCCGCATTGCCCAGGATCTGGGGCTGGAGGTGGAGGAGCTGGTGCCTCGGATGTTCCGGATGGTTTCCAAAGGACAGGAGGACTATTTTGAGGTAAATGTACAGAATGGTGTTTTGTTTGTGAATTCCCGAATTGACAGGGAGCAGCTGTGTGCTCAGAGTCCCATTTGCATCATTCATCTAGAGATGATTGTGGACAAGCCTCTTAGGATCTTCCATGCAGAGGTGGAGATCAGGGACATAAATGACAATGCTCCCATTTTCCCAGTAAATGAACATCAACTATTTATTTTGGAATCTAGGCTGCTGGGCTCCTATTTTCCACTAGAGGGAGCTTCAGATGCTGATATTGGTTCAAATGGTCTGCTTACCTACATCCTTAGCCCAAATGATTATTTTCAGCTACGTGAAGAAAAGCATGGAGATCTCAGTAAATCTTTAGCACTCGTGCTATACAATGCCCTGGATCGAGAAAAAATCTCTGTACATCATTTATTACTTACTGCCACTGATGGGGGACAACCAGAGCTAACTGGTTCAGTGCAGCTGAAGATAACTGTACTAGATGTAAATGATAATGTACCAATGTTTAACCAGTCTGTGTATGAGGTGCATCTGCTGGAAAACATCACAGAGGGAACATCAGTCATTACTTTGACTGCTTATGACTTGGATGAA